CTAATACCATTAGAATTACATAACTCAGTAAATCCAAGATTTTCAAATTCAGTTCCATGATCACTCCTAACACTAGTTATAGAGTAACCTTTTTCATTTTGGATTACTTTTGAAAACATGATGAATTTTTCTAATGCTTCATCTTTAGTACTTAAGAATAGAACCCAAGTATATCTAGAATAGAACCCAAGTATATCTAGAATAGTCATCTACCAAGACAAATGCATAATGTTTTCCACCCAAGCTAGTAGTCCTAGATGGCCCAAAAAGATCTAAATGGATCAATTGTAATACTCTACTAGTGGATACATCATTAATGGATTTAAAAGAAATTCGCTTTTGTTTTCCTTTAGCACAAGCATCACAGATTTTATCATTATCAAATTTTAGTTTAGGCAGCCCTCGAACCAAATCTCCTTGAACTAACCATTACAAAACACTCATACTAGCATGTCATAGTCTCCTATGTCATAACCAACTATCATGTTCATCCTTAGCAACTAAGCATAAATTGGTCATTTCTATAGAGTCTAAATGCACCATGTATATGTTTCATATTCTATGACCTACAAGCATAATCCGATTATATGCAATGTCAATAACTTTACAACCATTAGTTTCAAACATGACATTGAATCCTTTATCACATAATTGACTAATGCTTAAAAGATTATGCTTAAATCCATTCACATATAAAACATTTTTAATTTGTATGGAAGAGGTATTACCTATTGTACCTATACCTTCGATGTGACCTTTTGAATTATCACCAAAAGTCACTTCTCCTCCATTTTTGGCGTTAAGCTCTATGAATCGGCTCTTGTCTCCGGTCATGTGTCTTGAGTATCCACTATCAAGGTACCATGAATTTGAATTTGTTTCTCGTGCCTTGTAGCAATGCTCTTTTTTCTACAAACATAGATTAATTTTTTATTTTTGGTACCCAAATTCTTTTGGGTCCATATTCATTAGTTTCCAAAATCCTAGTCCCCTTAGGTATCCATTTGTGTAGGATATCTTTATTTTTAGTAGTAATGAGTCTTTTAGGAACCCATATATTTCTAACGATTTTTCCATTAGAGGTTCTCCAGGGACCTCTATGATTGTAGTTTTTAAAACTTTTTCTAACAAAGTTGGATTTTGAATTTTCTCCATTTTTCAAAACGTTTTATTCCAACTTTATCAAAAGAAGCTTTAAGATCATCAATATTCTTTTGATGATCATCATTGACCTTTGAAAGTAAATTTTGCAAATCCGAATTTTTCTTTTCAAGCTCTTCTAGTTTGATTTGCAAATCTTTGATTTTACTTTCAAGATCGTTGTTGGTTTTGGATATGAGTTTATTTTCATTTTTCAATTTTGAATATCATTTTTATATTTTAAAAACAACTTCGCATAATCCGAAGCCAACCCATTATATTCCTCTAATAACTCATCATAAGATAAATCATCTAAATCAAATGAGTTAGAGGTTACCTTAGAATCTTCCCCGAATACCATCAAGCACAAGTTTGCTACTTCTTGTTCCTCTTCATCGGAACCTTCTTCATCGCTTTATGTAGCTACGTGAGCCTTGTGCTTATTCTTTGATTGACCTTTTCTCTTCAATTGTGGGTAATCATATTTGACATGCCCCGGTTTTTTGCATTCATAGCAAATGATCGGTCCTTCTCTTTTGGTTCATTTTTGAAGCCTTCATTTTGTTTGAATTTTCTTCCTCGGTTTGGCCTCATCATTTTTCTGAACCGTTTGGCAAATAATGCCATCTCCTCGTCATCGTCATCTTCATCCAAATCACTCTCATCTCTTGTTGATTTGAGAGCAACTCCCACGTTCTTCTTTTTCTTTGTCTCCTTCTTTGACTCGTCTCTTCTCTCAAGGTCTTCCTCTTCTTTAAGCATCATTTCATGCGTGAGGAGAGAGACAATAAGTTCATCGAGGGTTAAGGATTTCAAATTCTTAGCATCGATGATCGCCGTCTTCTTTGATTGCCAAGCTTTTGGAAGAGAGTAAACTAACTTCCTTACAAGCTTGTCATTTGGAATGATTTCTCCATATGATTTGAGGCTATTGACAATCGTGGAGAATCTATCCGTCATAGCTTTGACATCTTCATATGGTTTTATCCTAAAATTTTCATAGCTATGAGTTAGAAGACTAATTTTAGATTCTTTTACCTCGTTTGTGCCTTCATGAGTGACTTGGAAGTTGTGCAAGATGAAACTCTCCCGTATTCATCCGGTCCAAGAGCACAAAAGATGATATGGATAACTTTGGAGTTGAGCTGGAACAATCTTGTCTCTCCTTCACTCCACAACCTCGGGTGAGTAGAGGGTTTAATGTATCCATCTTCTATGATGTTCCATGCTCCCATGTCACTTGCTTGAATGAAATACATCATCCTATTCTTCTGATAAGCATAATTAGCTCCATTGAAGAAAGGAGGATTGTTGACGGGCATTGAATCGAGAATGAAGTCAGAGTTTGAAACGCCGGCCATTGATAACTTGAATATCGATGTAACTCTTCCCGAATCGACTCAAGAGGCGATTAAACCTTCAAATGAGTGAGGCTCTGATACCAATTTTGAGTTAATCGATCGATGGAATTGGCCAAGAGGGAGGTGAATTGGCAAATAAAAATTTCGGTGGAAGCTTTGCAGAAAATTGAAAGTAATTGCGCAGTGATTTAGAGTGGTTCGACTTTCTCAACCAAAGTCTACGTCCACTACCTTAGCTATCCATACTAAGGATTTTCCATAAATTCACTAATTTGTCTTTCTTTTGAGGACAAAGAGTAACCTTACAAATCCCTCAAGAATTATACCCCAAATTCTTGAGAACACTCTCTCCCAAAGAGAACAATACAAATTTTGCAAACTTACAAGAAAATCCTCACAACGCAAGATGTTTGCACAATTCTAGAACAAAGAAAGAACACTCAAGAATAATACGATTGAGTACAATAAGTGTTCTTGAAAGAAAAAATGAATATTGAATGAAATAGGTTTGAAAATGCTCAAACTTGAGGTTTGATGCTTTCTCTTTGATTCTCTCTTGATTCTTGTTGATCAATGGCTTCTAAGCTTGTTTAAATACTCCTTCAATTGATTCTAAACGTTGGGGATGATTAGTGGAGTCAATGGAGCCTTTTTAGTGTTAAATCAATTAATAAAACAGCTTGGAGCGTGGGGGGAATCGGTACCCCCTCATGGGGAATCGGTTCCCTAAGTGTAAAATTCAAATATTTCGATCGTTAAACAGGGGGAATCGGTACACCCCTTTGGGGGAATCGGTTCCCTCCGATCATTCTGTTTTTCTCGGAGCCAAATCATTCAGGGGGAATTGGTACCCCCTTGAGGTGGAATCGGTTCCCTCTGAGCAATCTGGAATTTTTGGCTTTGAAATGGTTCAAAATACTTTGTAAAATTGTTTTGAAATTGTTTTGAAATTATTTTAAGATTAAAACTTAATTTTACACTTGAGTAAGGATTAAAAATGACATTTGAAAGATTTGGAGTAATATTTTGATATTCGAATAATTATATCGAATATACTTAGAAAATCTTTTGAAAAATCTTAAAATTCATTTAACTTAATTTGTTATATCGAAATATCAAAATGTTTTCAACAAAATGGTAGATAAATTAAGTTGAAAAGAATCTTTTAATCATTGAACTTTTAGAAGTTATAGAATGATTATTAAATTTCTTAAATAATTATAAAATGATTATTCAAATTTATCAAAATATTGAAAATGGTCATAAAACTTACCGAAATGTTACAAAAATAGTCATTAATCTTATAAAAAAATATCACTATCTTATAATATACATTGGTCATTTCATAATAGTTCAATATATTTACTAATCATTCTGTAAATTTTAAAACTTTATTGATTAAAAAAATATTTTATCATAGTTTAATGATATTTTTATCTTATTTTTAATAAGATATAAGTATTGTTGATTAAATAACTTAAATCCGACAAGTTTTAATTTAACTCGATTCTTTAAGATCTTATTTTTTTTAATTTGAGTCTAGATATATCGAGAACTCGCGATATGTTAATTAAAATGTATCTTCTTCCCCTTGTCATAAGTTAAAATTAAATACGTCGACACATATTGTATCCTTAAAAATCCTAAAAAATAAATATGATAAATAAAGCAAGAATAGACACAACAATAATAGTTTAAGTACACAAATGGTCCCCCGACTATAATGTGCTTCTTTATCAAGTCCCTCAATGTTACAACATAGTCTTCCAACTATAGAATGTTGCTCTGTTGAGTCCCTCGACTATTAATAGCTACAAAATGATCATTCGACTATTCATTATGTTCCAGACTCGTCCTTTTCCCTTAACAAATTGGTTGTTGTTTAAGCTCGACGTTAACATGATGAATGGATATAATAGCCTTTTGAGATTTTGGAATCAGATTTTATCATATCACATTCAACAAGTTAATGTTCAACTCATAATACCATCCATTTTTTAACGTTTGGAACATAATGAACAGTCGGGTGTCAATTTTGTAACGTTTAATAGTTGAGGGACTCAACAAATCAACACTCTATAGTCGAATGATCATTTTGTAACTTTTAATAGTCGATGGACTTAATAAAGCAGTACCCAGTAGTCGGGAGACTATTTGTGTTCTTTTACCCATAATAATAATAATAATAACCCCAATGATGTATATGTTCTTACTAAATAAGACAGTTTGTTAAAACCTTGCTAAAATTAGAATCTGCAAGAGAAAAAGAAAGCACAAAACTCATTATGTCTTCTTAATCGTTCATATCCATACCTAAATTTTCGACAAATATTATCTTTTGATCCAATATTATCATTTTTCTTTTGACTTTAAAATTGATTCCCGTTTCTTGAAAACAAAAATGGGGAAAGATTTGATCTAAATGTTGCAGGCATGAGTTGATGCAAAATGTCTCTGTTTTTGCATCACACCAAGTTTTGTTTTTCTCTCATCTTCAAAGCTAGTCGAATTTTAAAGAGGCTGTTTTAGGATCAAACAAAACCTTCCAAGATGTCATCGTCAAACAATAAGATGAAAGGCCTGTTAAAAGGCCTTAGATACATTTCTGAAATATTTGGTATGCAATCCCATCTCTTGCCAAATTTTAACCAGAAATGGGTGTTGCAGAAAGAAAACTGGGTTTGTGATATAAAAACATGAACGTCATTGATTTGGTTTTTTCTCTTGTTAATAACAGTGAAAATGTGTGAACTTTTGTTGTGTTTTTTGCAAAAAATGGATGTTGCAGAAGTTAATGATCGAAAAAGAAAACTTGGTTTTTTGACAGAAAAACATGAACATCATTGGTTTGGTTTTTCTCTTGTTAATAACAGTGAAAATGTGTGAAATTTTGTTGTGTTTGTTTGCAGAAAATGAAAAAGAGCCTGAAATGCAGATTGGTCTGCCAACAGATGTGAAGCATGTGGCTCATATAGGATGGGATGGTCCATCAGCAGTAAAATCTGCACCCAGCTGGGTAAATTGAAAGATCTACCATCATATTATTACTATGATTATGAAAACTTTCGTGTTCATCTTTTTGTTTTCAGTGATCAAAAGAATTAACATTGCCCCAAGTAAAAGAAAGCCATGATTCATATTGGGAGTGAATTCTGGCTTTCATTTTTATACGCAGATGAATGAGTTTAAATCAACTCCTGCCAATAATGGAGAAGCTCGGGAGGAAGGTCCTATGAAATCGGTCTCTCAAGGTCCCAATTTCGATCATTCGAGTTCGAATATTTTTTTATCGAATCAGCTTCGTTTATGTTGATTAGTATTTGGTTTACAGATGTGATTAGCAGAGATGGTTCGAGGGATCAAAGCTTACCAGCAACAGAGACGACAGACATGCCTAAATCATCAAAACGTGGTTCATCTTCAACTAGAAACGGTCCTACAGGAGAGTCTACAGGGAAGGAAAAATCAGATAAGCCCAAGAATCCAAAGAAGAGTTCCAAGGCCAATTCTTCAAAGGAAACTTCAGATAGCACCTCAAAGCCCAAGAAAAAGCCAAAGGAACACAAGGAGCCAAAGGATTCGATCGATTCCGACAACAAGAAGAAAAGTAGTCGACGAAAGAAGTCGAAAGAATGCGTTGAGGGATCCTCCAGGCGGTCCAAGACCAGGGACATGGATACTGGATCCGAGTCAGGGTCTGTGGCTGGAATCCGAGAGGAACAACTAAGTACTGGTTCAGGTTATGAAGGGGAATTCTGAGGGGAAATTATTAAACGTTGATGCCCATTGTTTTTGGTTGTACATTGTAAAACACTGATAGCTGCTAGCTAGAGACTCCCATTTGCTTTAGTAGAAACCAAATTCTTTCTTTTTCTTTTTTTGTTTCTTTTTCATTTTTGAGGAAACCTAACATTTTACTACGAAAAGAGCTCCATTGGAATTAATTGTTGAAACTTGGAACTGATTCAGTGATTCAGCTTTCAATGGATGAAAATGGACTGTCAATTAGATCAGACTGACGACCAAGGCAATACTATGAATTGATTTTCTTCTTCTTTTGAATGGATAATAGTGGATGATTCATGTCTGCAATACTAGCTTGTCGTTTGATTAATGGACAAAAACAGAACTGAGAAGAGAGTAATTACATAATCTTAAACCTACTGCAATACAAAATTCCTATTACCTTGTTTCTGTAAGACCTATCAGGTGTTTTTTTTTCAGTTGCTGATGAAAAACAATCAAACTAAAACTATCAAAAGCCCCCAAAACAGCAACATTACATGAAAAGGAGAACCTAAAATCGCAGTACTGGAGCCACCAATGAGGATGACAGCATTGAGAATATCTGGTTTGCTGCATTTCTTCAATACCTTGGAGCCATGGCCTAATTTCTCATCAACACACACTGCTGGTTACCCTTAAACCTTAATTTTTCACCAATTTTAGCAGTGAATTCAGCAGAGAAAGGAACCCTTCCACTCAGATTGTTGTTTTCCAAATTAAGTTCATTGACAAACTCCAAGCATACAAATTCCTCAGGCACTTTCCCTTGAAGCCTATTGTTATCAAGTCCTAAATAACATAAGTACCTCAAATGTATTCCCATGGAAGCTGGAATTTTCCAAACCAGTCCCATTCCAGAAAACCCTATCCTCAAAACACCCCCAAGCTTTTCCCGTTTCTCTGGAATCTCCCCACCAAGTAAATTCCCACTCAAATGCACATCCTTCAACCTGGGCATTTCAGCAATAAACAAAGGAACCCCAAAGTTACCAAAACTGTTAAAACTCAAATCCAAGAACTCCAAATCCTGTAAGTTACTCAAACTCTCTGGGATTTTACCAGAAAACCCATTGGAACTCAAGTCCAGCTTCAAAAGCTGAGTGAGATTACCAACTGCACAAGGGACATTTCAATGAAAAGCATTGGCACTAAAGTCGAGAACTTTATCCAAGTGAACGGGCTCCCTGATACTGGAATATCGATCAATCCCCTACTTTGAATGAACTCTGAAAATCTCCATTGACCTCGGGATTGTCTCAAGAAAAGTAGATTAATATACAGTTAAGAAGTGATGTTCTGTCAATTTAATAATATACTTAATAAAATAAGTTTAGTGTTATTAAAAATATTAATTAATAATAATGTTGTAGGTTGAAAATATTAAAAAATTTAAAAATCGATAAACTTAGTTTATCGATAAATATCGATACCGTACATAAAAGTATTGATATATATAGTAATATATAAGAAAGTGATAAAAATCGGTTAAAAGTATACATGTATTGATACATTTATAAGTATATGTATAAAATTGTCAGTAATTTAGTAATTTAAAAGAATTACAATAAAAGTTACTATAAAGTATCGATATCTTACACACATGTATCGATACACGAGAATATAACAGGTTGAAATTTGATAAATTCAGTTTTAATTTGACAAAACCGATTGGAAATTGACAAAACGATTTCAATTTGAGAAAACCGATAAAGAGTTACCGAAATTGTTGAAATTTGTATCGATATGTTTATAAATATATATACAAAGTATCGATACTGTAGGAATTTAAAAGAAATGAAAAAAGGAAAATGTCTCGAAAGTATCAATACATGTCAATATAACAGGTTGAAGTTTGACAAAACCGGTTTCAGTTTGACAAAACCGGTAAAGAGATACCGGAATGGTTAACATTTGTATCGATACTTTTACAAGTATATGCACCTAAGTATTGATACTTTAGGAATTTAAAAGAATTGCAATAATAGCGCCTATAAAATATTGATACTTTAGGAATTTAAAAGAATTGCAATAATAGCGCCTATAAAATATCGATACCTTAGACACATTTATAGATACATGACAATATAACATATTGAAATTTGACAAAACTGGTTTTAATATGACAAAACCGGTAAAGTGCTACCGGATATGTTGACGGTATCAATACTTTTATAAGTATATGTATCATGGTATCGGTATTTTAGGAATTCAAAAGAAATGAAAAAATAAAAACGTCTCAAAAGTATCGATACCTTACACAAAAGTATCGAGATTTGGGTAATGATATCGATTAAATATAAATATCATAACCCGTTAAAATATCAAAGGCATTGCTAACAGAGAAATGGATAGAAGACGGCCGTAGTTTTTGAAATCGAAGCGTATTAGTTACTGTGAAATAGAAGCAATGCATTTTTGAAAGCGTAGTTGTTTGTTTGTTGTTGCAATCGAATCGAAATGTATGTTATCGAAACCCTAGTTTTTTTTAGTATTACAATATTCAAAAATAGAGATTAGGTTTATAGGTTTAGGATTGAAGGATTTTGGACTAATTACAGGTAGAAAGTGATATTCTTGGTAGAAAATAAATATTGATACTTTTATATAATATTATAGGTAGAAATTGATATTGTAGGTTGTATAAAGGTATCAATACTTGTAGTAGAGAGTATTCTCATTCCTTTGAAGGAAACTCAGTTACTATAGGATTAATTATTGATACTTATATATTGAATAAATTGTATGTAACTTGTATTTGAATTGATTTGAGTTAATTAAATGTTTGAATGTTTATAAACTAATATATGAAGGAAAAATGAAGTCAATGGATCTTGCAATTGTTGTTTGCGAAGATGACATTGAAATGGAGCCCGAGAGTATCAACATTAAAGAAAATATAAAGCAAGCACTGTGTGGATATATGTACTTCAAGTAATTATTTAAGAATTTTAAATTGATTACAAATTTCAAATCTTGACAGAATGACTGAATGCCAAATGATGAATGAAGCTGGTAATTATGTTGACTGCATAGCCAATAAAACCTGGAGGGCAGTGTCCAAATGGTATGCTAGGAATTGGTAAGACAAGCTTCCTTTGAGGGTCATTGAACTCAACCCCCCCCAGATAAAGACTTCATGATTAAACATTACATAGAATAGTTGTATTCAGTTCTTGAAGATTTATTCTTCAATGTATATAAGAATAGTTGTAATGATCTCTATTAACGTTTCAAAACCAATAAGTATCATGCATGTAGTACCTTATATCATCGAGGCAAACAACAAGAAATCTATCATTGAAAGATTTTCCAAGAGCGGTATATTCTGCATGAAGACCGAACCTATAATTAACTTCGCCATTATGCCCATACTGCTAAAGAGAACCCGCTGAATGATAGGATTTGCACACAATAATAAACATTTGAGCTTCACCTAAATTCTCGCCTAAACCTTAAATCATAAACCCAAAATTAATTAAAACAAACCATCTTGAAGCAGTTCAGTGTTTGTTATGCAAGCTTTAATTACTCCTCCACACTCTAGGTAATTTATATTGTAGATCACTCAATTTAATTTTAATTATAAATACTTAATCTAATTAAAATATATCGTTTAACTTTTATTATTTTTTTGGTTGTAAAAACTGCATCAGCAGTGGAAGGTATCCGTTAAACAATCAAGTCATTGATAAGACTCTATGATCCCTTGCAGGCGGATGGTTCAACAAAGTGATATATGTAGTTCCATTGAAACCAAGCTTGGCCAGAACATCTTCGTCACTAATTGAAGCCCTGCGAACATGCACAAACTTAACATTCCAGTGAAGATCCAGGAGCTTTCGAATTCTTCGAAGGATCCTCGGTTTATTAGAGCAAGCCTTGGTGGTTAAAATTCACACTACAGTATCAACCACAATTCCAACCTGTCTCTCTCCCTGTTCCATGCTAAAGTAAGACCATTAAAAACCGCCCAAATTTCGCATTGAAGAACTGATCAACGACCAACTTTGCGGCGAAATCCGAGAAGCCAGTGACCGTCATTGTCGCGAATAACCCCTTCATAGGCAGTTTCCATAGAACTCCGATTAACCGCACCATCTGTGTTAATTGTAATTCCACTCAGACTGGGAGGTCTCCACCTTTGATTAGTGACTCCTCTAGTATGAACAACCGATGCTTCCCGCTTAGCACTGCAAAGAGTTTGAGCCCAGGACCAGGTCGATTTAATAACTTCAAAGGACGACCACGCTTCCCCTTTAAATTTGAAGTTATTTCGCTGCTTCCAAAGCCGCCAAATGATGATTCCAAGTAAGTGTCTCCAATAAAAGTCATGGGTGTCCAATCTTGAGCATCGGAACAGATTTTCTTCCAGCCATTCCTCCAGCAAAGCAACAAAGAAAGATAGGAGATTGTTAGGGACAACTTCGTTCCACACAAGGCGAACCAAAACACAGTCACGTAGCACATGGAGAATAATTTCGTTACTATACCCACAAGCCGAACAGTGAGCTTCAGACGCTATCCCTCACCTTACTCTCTCAGAGTTCGTCATAAGACGATTGTGAAGCACCATCCAAAAGAACTACTTGACACACTGTGGGTCATCAAATTTCCAAGCTATACACCAGCATTTGTTTGGCGGATCCTAGGCATCTCGTTTTAGAATTTTAAAAGCTGAGCTTACTGTGCACCTGTCGGTAACTTCCCATCGCCAGGTTGGAATATCCTCTCCCGCGTCATCATCAGGGGGAAGAACCGCTGCGATAAGCTGGATAGTATCATTATCTAAGCCCAAATCTAACATTTGAAGATCCCATCTCCCCTCTTGGGTAACAAAATCAGCAACCATCTCGTTCAGGTTGTGGGAGTGATTAGGGGGCAAAAGATCGAGAAGGGGTTATGTTGGGAATTAATCGAGTAATTTCCTTATAACCAGATTAGTGAGAATGCAAAATAAAAGCGAAAAATAATACATGAAATTAATAACGGAGTTCGGCATATTATGTTTACGTCTCCAGACTACTGCAGATCTTTTACTAAAGAGAAAATTTATAGGTGTTTACAAAACACTCACAACTCACAAGAGAACTCTCTAAACTCTTTAGTATTGGGAGAAAGAAATGATTTGGGATGATTTTGAACCTAAATGGGTTAGGGTATTTATAAT